TTGAAGAGGATTATCTGGATGAAGTATTTTGGATGGTGAGTGGGTCCCGCGTCGTGAATGCTATCTTACCTGTGTAAGCATATAGTCGATAGTTAGTCTCAATGATAATGAAACCTTGTTGGTCTGGGGCTCCTGGTGGTGCACCAGTGCTCTGGTCCACAGTAGCCCCACCGCCCACATTCCCGCCCACTAGGGCATTCGAAGACGACTTCATGCTTGACGCAAGAAGAGGTGGGACGGACGAGGTCAGAGTGGTAGCGAGTCGCGTTGGGTGAAAGCGTTTCGATTTGGCCTAGAAGTGGTTATACGCATCAATCTGTGCAATCAAAATGAAGTCTGAGGCGTGAACCTTCCGTTGGTACACGAGACCGTAATCCCGGAAATCTTCAAGCATGACCTGCTGGGTTTCCGTCAACAGTTCGGTAGAGTAATCCTATTGATATACTCAGTGTTGTGAATCAAACGCCTGCTGAGAAAACCGACTTGGCCAAGTTCCATGGTCGAGAGCATGAAGAGAAAGCTGAGCACTTCAACGATGTCCATGCCGCGAACCTTTGCTCATGGCTAAAGATTAGTATCATAAACCCGACAAAAAGGCACGTCTACCTCCGACATTTGTAACGACTGTGACAATAGATCCCAAAGCTGCTCATGAGGAGGCTGTAGGAGGAATTGGAAGCCGCGGGACGTAATACTCATATGCGGTGAACCTGGGGAACTAGTATCATAAGGAATCAGAGACTCGTATTGGGGTTCACGAGGAGGCTCACATGGCAGCCATGAGGCCACCTTTCCTAAGCAGATACAGAACACCTTCCGAAGGTCGTGGCCCCCCTTCCGCTCCAGATGACACCATAAAATGCAATATTGCCTAGTGATGAAAATTTTCGGATTGCTGCGCACGGAGCGGAAGATATAGCACTACCTCCCACTTTTGTGATGCGTGCTTATCGAGGAACTCGATCGAGACGGGCTGCTTTCTCCCGTCGCCACCTCGTTCCCTAATAGATCCGTCACTCTTCTCGGAGGGAGTCCCAAAAGAGTTATGTTGGCCTCTGGTGAGGCGTTATAAGTGATAAGCGCAGGGCACGGGTCAAAAGCACTCACCCACCCCGAATAGCAACTCGTAGACCCTCGCGGAAAATTGGATTTAGCGAAATACTTGCATTTGTCTCAGGCACAACGTATAAGGCTTTGAGAGAGGAGATAGAATGCTCCCAGTGTCTGGTGCATGACAGGTATTAAGGGTCACAACAAATTGTTCATCACAAACTTGGCGGCAGACTAGGGACTTGCATTTTAGCTGCATTCGTTCCCTTAACCCAAGCATCCAGACTCTGTGGCTGCAAGCCTCCATCGAGCCAGAGCAATGATAGCAAAATGTGCCTTTCCAAAGGGGCCAGAAGTCTGGCTAATAGTTGGTGCACTACCACAATCAGAACAGCGGCAAAACTTGCCTAAAGACGGAAAGGCATGCCGAAGGGCGCGCGTACAGCCTCACAAGAGTGTTCTGTGACTGGGCTCTCAGGAACGGAAGAAGGGCATGCTCGTGAGTTGGTGAAACCATTCCCTAAGGTCAATGTGGCGGTGCGGTGCGATGTAATTTATCCAGTATCGTATTCGATTGAGCCTTGTTCTTGACTACATAATCCCTTGTTCGATCTGATGTCGACGCTATCTATCCATCAGGCTGCGTCTCAGAGTACGTGACCTTCAATAGCAACACGGGGGCTGGCCTGACTTGGGATGACATGTTCGCTCGTCGCGCTGACGTACGCCACCTATGGTGCCCGCTCACTTGCTATAATCCCGCTGAAAAATGGAAATAACGCTGGTGTACAGACCAGACGTCACTGGTTCGATCGCTTTTAATTGCCGCGCCGACGCTCTTGAACGCGAAGGATGCCGTGAGTTCGTTATCCACTTTTTGAAAGACAAATCGTGGCTGTATAACGCCCAAAATTCACACTTGCACACCAACGTAATCCCGTCGAATAGGATGGACGAACGCCTCTGCATTGTGTTGCTGCTAGTGGTTCCCTTGAAGTGGCTAGATACTTGATAGATCAGAAGGCCGATGTCAACGCACGCGATTCTATGGGATGGACACCCCTCATAATTTCAGGTACGCTTCATTTCCCCCCTATGGTACCAGCCAGCTAACAAGCACCGGCTCAGTGAGTGCAGGACACGAGCCAATAGTCATTGAACTCGTCGCAGCTGGTGCCGACGTGAAAGCCGCAAACGACAACAATATCACTCCCCTGTAAGCATCAACTACCCCTCTCCATCGATTTAACTAACCTTAGCCTTACGCCTCGAGGCACTATGCAGCTTCCAAGGGGCGGGTTGAGGTAAAATGGTCTGGCACATCTGGTAGTCGTTAATTTGATCTACGCACTTGTCCAGATCGGGAAGCTCCTTATTGAGCGAGGAGCGGATGTGCGTTCCCCAATTTCGACTTGTGCTTGAGACACAATATGTAGACTGAACTTTTTAATGTTTGCAGATTAACGCGCGAGACAAGGCGAATCAGCTCCCACTGTACGTCCCACCCCCATCCTATGTTCCCTCCGTCCTTGAGTGCATGCGGCTCTGAACGCCAGAGACCAAATCCTTCCCATTCGCGATGATCGAATCGGACCGCTCAGTTCGGCAACTAATTCATTGATCCTGTAGGCACCGGGCGGCGACTACAAATTCATCGTCTTTCATTAATCTCCTCCTTCATCCTCCTGAGGAACTCAAGCTTCCGAAGACAAGACTGAATACTGCAGATCGAGTTGGTGCGTAACAATCGTCATACTCCAATGCACACAGATCCTTTTCACGCAAGACTCTGGTTCTCCGATTCAGGAAACACGCCGCTACATCTTGCGATGGAATCAGGGCACGGGGAGGCCGCAGCGTTGCTAATTGAAGCTGGGGCAGATAGAACAAAAGTAAGAGTCTTCATTCTAACTACTGGTTAAGCCTTACCTCTTCTTCCCCCCAAGACAAACCAAGATGAGCAAGAGCCGGAACAGATGGAGGGTGTAGGCGGCATCGGGCAGAAGAGGGTTCGGGACTATGTCATCCGACGTTGCGGGCCTCGGTAACCCAAGTCCTTCTGTGAGCTGTTTGTCGCGGTTTCCGATATTGAGGAGATTCTGTCTTCCGTCTTCGTGATTAGACCAACAGGAATCACGATTCATGTAATTAATCGCACCTCGCGCTGTTAATTCACTTTGTAGGCCTGCCGGCTGACCCTTAATTCGTGCCCCGGCGCCCAGTGTCCCAGCGGCTAGCAACAGGTCTTAGGTGGAATGTGCCCAACAATATGACATCGGTTTACTCGATTGTCACGTTGTCACACGGATCTTGCGTCTGGTTGACCTATTATGTAGTACACGGAACAATATTCCATGCAGTGTTACTGATTGTCTAATCCGGATCGCATTTCACCCCAAAGATCGCCCGCATTTAGCGGACCGGGGAAATACACCTATTCAATGAGGTGTTTGCTGTGTGCGATGCCATCAGACTTGGTCCTCTTGTTGCCGGGGTCTTCCCATGCTTGAGGTCCGCCCACACAGATACAACGGTGTCCCCCCTTTCCGTGTCCCCTGAATTATCGTTTCACGGTCGACTCCCTTGACGCTTGCTGGTCCGAGTTCTCACTATGACACAACGGACAACAGACAACGCTCTTGTCTACAAGTCTCCCCACGCCGACGTTAATGTTCCTGAGCACAATGTGTACACTCACATTCTTCCTTCTCCCACTCATGCGCCGCACCCGAATCGTATGTTCACTCGTAAGATGGCTCTGCAGGCTGAGGACCAGATTGCCCTCGTCGACGCACTCACAGGGGAGAGATACACGAGGGCTCAGCTGCGACGGCGCACAGAAGCGCTATCAACTAGCCTTAGGGAAATGGGATTAAAGAAAGGTTCATCTGTAATGATAATTAGTCCCAATTCGATCGAGTACCCGGTCGTCACTTTGGCGTCGGTACGTTTGATCGATCCTTCCCTCTATTTATACGAGTCTCATTATTCACACACCGTGCTTGTTTTAATGCTATGACTGTAGCTCGCTGCTGGTCTTGTCCCCAGCTTTGTCAATCCAGCATACACACCATCCGAGATCCTCCACCAGTTCAACGACTCTTCCGCCTCTCTAGTTTTTGTACACTCCGAATCCCTCACTGTCCTCCTCTCTGCCCTTCCAACCAACTTTCCTGTCTCTGAACGCGTCATCGTGATGCAGCATAGGAACCGGATCCCAGGGTCCATACTTGCCCAAGTCCCTCCATTGATTTTCATAGATGATCTCATCTACCAAGGGGATCGGAAAAAAACTGGGGTGGAAAACTTCGACGGAGAACTGGCGAAGAAAACCACTGCATTCCTGTATTATTCATCCGGTACCACAGGCAAATCCAAGGGCGTCGAGCTGACCCACCACAACATGTCGACGGCAATCAGTATTTGCAGCATCAATTGGGGAGCTGTAAGACCACTGACGTGAGCTTATTTCCAAATGACATTTTATGCGTTCTTCTGAGGATGACACCTCTAGAGACGTGATGTTAGCCGTCATTCCGTGGTACCATATCACTGGTTCCCTTGTTACCTTTCTGTATTCTATTCACATGGGTGTAAAAATAATCGTCCTACCTCGATTCACACCCTCCACTTTCCTTGGAGCTATCCAAAGACACCGTGTCATTGTCATGGTGGTTGCGCCGCCGCTTCTGCTTTTTTTCAAGAATAGCAAGCTGGTAGAGGACTATGACATAAGTAGTATCAGAGACATTTTAACCGGCAGCGCTCCGGCAAGTAAGGAGTTGATTGAAGGAACCACAAATAGACTTCGTGGCAGGGGGGCGAGGGACGGTGGGTGGCCTTGGTTATTTCCCGTGATTTGTCCCCACATTGATTCTTCATGACATGATGCATTGCAGCCGCCATATCTCAAGCGTACGGCCTCACAGAGACTACGGCTGGGACACACATTCTTCCACGCGCCTTTTCTCTCAGCAAGGTCCATACCGTCGGTCGTTTACAGCCTAACCTACAAGCTCGTCTCGTGGACGACAATGAAGTTGATGTTAGCCCGGGGGAGCGCGGCGAACTGTGGATCCGCGGGCCCCTCCTGATGAAGTCCTATCTGAGGAACGAGGCCGCTACCCGTGACACCATTACACCCGATGGATGGCTTAAGACAGGAGACATCGCCATTGTAGATTCGGAAGGATTCTTTAGCATCGTGGATCGGAAGAAGGAGCTAATCAAGTACAAGGGATTCCAAGTCCCCCAGCGGAGCTGGAGGCGTTGTTGCTGAAACATGACATGTTGGAGGACGCAGGCGTCGTCGGAACTTGGGACGAGGTGGGACAGACTGAGCTCCCTACGTGAGTTCCTCACAGAAACAAGAGGCTCCCCCCACATGTTGTGTTTGGTCCTGATGATTGCGCCTGAAACTTTTTCTAGTGCCTACGTGGTACCGCGCAACAAAAGCATCCTCACTGCTTCTCAATCGTCCCAAGCCAAATTTGCATTCGAGATTCAGGAATGGGTCAAGTCTCAAGTCGCCCATTACAAACAACTTCGCGGGGGTGTAATCCTGGTAACTGAAATCCCAAAGTCGGCTGCCGGAAAGATTCTGCGCCGGAATCTGCGCGAGCTTGCTGCGAAGCTTCCTCGCGCACCAATCAAGCTCTAGCCTCACGCTGGCAATTGTTCGCCGTCACAGCCTGTATTCCCAGTACTACTAATGTCTATCCTTTCCTTCCGCTTATCAATAAACATGCTTTCAGTTCCTTGAATATTCTCAGTCCGCAGATAGATCTTGCATAGCCCACGTTCAGCAGAGGATATAACATTGGGATCACCCTGCAACTACAACCCTTATCCGTTCACGAAACGAGACTGATTTCTGGTGGCTGGAACGAGAACACATTAATGGCTTCTCAGCGGACGAGGGGACACCACGTACAGGTCCACGAGTCTCAAATGCGAGCCAGTCGCCTGTTCCGGTTGGGAGGAGACCCATTGACCGACACTTCCAAATGCCCAGCGCTAAAGTGAGGATGTTACAGAGTATGTAAACGATTTTCGGAAGAATAAGGGAATCGGAAGATTTGAGAGACGGGGCGTAGGGAACAAACGCTGTTAGGTGGCGCGAGAGTTGGTGTTAACATGGCGGTAGCGAGGATTAGAGGCGGATCGAATCCGTGGACAAAAGATCAGCGGCAATGGAACAAGTGACCAGTAGAGTCAGGGAGGGCGACTCACAGGTGTTCATTGAGGATACAGCTTTGATGGGGTTGAGAAGCAACATGGCCAGTATACCAATACTGAATATCTGCACGCCTCCGCCCGACATGTACAGCATGAATGCGTTCATTGGCAGTGACTTTGCTGGGGAGATTGCGAGATCCCATGCGCGTTGCTGCTTGAGCTTCGCATATGACGCTGCGGCCGCGGAGTGCGACGCTGAAGCTGATTTCTGGATTCGAGCGAGTCAAAATACGAGATTGACGTGAGAAACCAGATGGAAGGCTAACTTGGAGGGACCCTTCGCTGAATCCTGGGGGTGAAGGTAGACTCTTCACTCTACCCACAGCACATCAGTGAGACGCCATAATCGCACGCAATTCCAGAACGTTACAAAGTGTTATTGTCATTGTCTGCGTAGTTCAGGGAGGCGGGCATACTAGCAGTACTGAAGCTGGATAAACGTTGGCGGCTGTGTTCCTTTCACACACATTCAAACAATGCTCCGAGTCTGGTGTTTAGACGGATTTTCCACATGACCCAATCCCTCGTCTGTGTTGTTATGAATAGCCCCAATAGACCTAGCGTTCGGTAGCTACACTCGCGTAGTAATGGTGAGATTAAAGCTAATGTGGTGGTCTGTACGGTACTTATCGACATTGAGTGGATCATCGAACGTCAAACAGGAAGCGACTGAAAAGGATAATGTGGCGAACGGGAGGTGGCATGAAGCGATGATGATGTCTTGACATGTCAGACGGTAGGCAGGACTCCAGCCTCTATATTATATGTCAGACGGCCGGGCGGGCATGGGGCTCCGTCATGACTTGTTCGTCCAACACTCTGGCTAGCTGGTGGACGACCCGAAGAACCTTCAACCCTCCCAACTGGCCAACAATTAGACCTGCTTCGTTGTCCGAAAAACCCTCGCGGCCGGGCCACCGCTGGGAGACTTGCTACGGAGTTTGGTAGTCCATTCAGCCCTCACTGGTCAGCGGCAATGTCGCTATACGATGGTGGCATAGACGCTGTTCTTGCCAATAGGCTCGTTGGCCAGGGCTCCGCGTTGTGCTTGTTACTCTTCTAGCTTGGGGGTCTTGTCGCATAAAATCAACGTCTTGAGTGGATATGCAGCTGAGTTTCTTGAGTGGCTCGTCAGACATCAAGATGCTCGCGATGGCCCCCGTACGCATAATGGTAATAAAGATATTATTTGTTTTATTTGACTCACCGAAAATACTCCGTGGTTTTTGTTGTGAGACAGCAATGCACGCAAACGAATATACCGTGTTTGTGTGAGTCGGTGGGGCGGCCGACAATTTACGTTCCTCTCTCATTTCCTTATGAGATTGTGTATACACAACCTTTTTCTTTTCGTTTCCATTACCCTCAGTCCTCATTTGCACTGAGCGAAAGACTAAGATTGTGTGCATTCACTATCAGCCTTCCATGGCTGAAGCCTGCGCCAGAACGAGGCTGAACAAGGGTTCACCCTCTGATTCAGTCAACTATAGAAACTTGCGGTTACATAACTATGCAAATTTACTGGAGAGATCTGTTCCCGACATATGGGTCATGTCAGGTCGTAAAGCCTAGTCGTTGGGAACGAATGGATCCACATGCACGCTTCAATTGACTACTATTTTCGAAGAGCTTACATACCTTCGGTACAAACAAAAAGCATTTTCTGTTGCAATTTTTGTGCACAATGGGCAAAAGCAGCAAGGCGACGAAAAGAAATGTAAGTTTTTGCTGAAGGCTGGAGGATGGCATACGGATTGAGCCTCGATGTAGTTCGCAAAACCTAAAGTGAGGCCAGAAGGGCAGCAGGCTCCGTCCAATGCTCCGCCGAAGAAAACCGTGGCTGAGCGTCATGAAGCTGCAAAGGCGTCTACGAGTCACCAGAAACAGCGTCTGCGAGGGAAGGCAAAGGGGAACAAGGATGGCCCAGGCTTGGGGGAGATTGACTATGTAGACGTGCTACTGGGAAGTCGAACGAAGGCAAAGTTTGCCATGTCCGGTGGACGTGCTCAATAACCTGCAATATTTTTCGATTGTTGTACATAGCTGCAATTGGAATCCGTCAAGCTAGGTCCCTCATCACCCAACGTGGAGGTTTATAGCTTTCGTCTCCTTGTCGTATTTTATTATATACTTTACCTTGCTTTCGAATTCGTGGCCGCTATCTTCCTCTTACCACCGAACAGTCATTACGGGACTCTGGGAATATAACCAGCTTAGCATTATTGAGGTTCTGGGATAGGTTCCATGCCACCTTCCAACCATTCTCGAGATGAAGATCGTCCCAGTCCTACCAGAAACTTTGGTGGGTTTGTTATTGACAAGATTCGGCGCTTGACCGTTACCCGAGCGCCGTCAACGGCCCAGCTATCGACCGCGTCTGCCTCAAGGCCCCGACCTGGAACTCCCTCCTCTCCGTCATTGGCCCCTACTACCTCCGTCGCCAACGCTCCAGGTGTGCTGGTTCAACCATCTCAGGAAGCCTTTCATCCTGTCGACTCGCCCCTGACTGTCGAATCCATCATTTCTAAACTTACTCCTCCCACTGCTCCACAACTCAGCCTTCACACCCTTGAGTCACATATCACGACATTAACGCGTCTTCTCCCTACAGTAATCCCATTTCCCTTATCTTTTAACGCTATATTCTCTGTCTTATCTTACGTATGCTCGTCACATTCCTTGACATCTGTGCGCCATCTTGGCTTTGGTCTTATGGCAACCTATCTGGAATGTCAAACAGAACCACTCTCCGAATATGAGCGTGCGCGTTTGTGGACTGTCATTCGTTCCAAGCCGACTGTAGAACGGAATGATCCCGAGACATCCGCTGATGACTGGGATGCTCGTCTCATCGCATTATCTGTCCTCACAAAGAAGGGCAAAGATATTGAGGGTCTTGTTGGTCTTGTAGATACCCTTGTTCTATGGGATGATGATCTTTCCCATTCATACTTCCCCTTATTGCGCAATTCCCATTCCCTTGATCTTGCTAGTCAACGATTCGATATTGAGAGGCGACTTGCAAAGAATTTTGGCATCATCGCTGATGTGCTCAAATACAATATGGCAACTCTGTCAGAAAGGGATGAAGATGCTCTCATTGGCGCACTGCAGACCAGTCTTGATACTGTGTTGGAGCACATATTCGACTTTAGCACTTCTGTGACTGAAAGATCCGGACTGTCGCCTGAGGTTACTCGTAAGTTCGATTCGTTATTTTGGGCTTGCTTGTTGCTTAGATGTTCTTCTGGCAAAACCAAAAGCAACTCCGCCTCCAACCCAACTCCCTCCGGCGTCACGAAGCCCATCACGCGCACCTTCCATGAGACATAGGCGACACCCGTCATCGCAGTCTTCCCGTGTTCTCTCTTTGCGACCGTCATTATCGTCGGCTGGCGCCATATTTGTCTCATCTCCGAGTGAAGATACATTTGTGCCACCACCCCCGTCTTTCCTTCTTCATGCATCCGCCTACCTTGATTTCCTTACATCTCTGTCCCAACATGCCCCTCTGCCGTCACGACACATTCGTCCCATCATCCGGACTCTCCTTGTTTTGCTTGCAGAACTCGCTTCGGATCTCCCAAAGGTCACCGACCTCGGGAGGAAGTCAAAAGGTCGTCCATCTGGCGACACATTTGATGGAGAGACCACCCTGGAGTCACCCTCGTCACTCGAAGACAAGTCATGGCTGCTGATATCGTCCTTACTTTCAGGCAGCTTTACGTCAACAACAGCGTCCGAAATCAAGAGGCTCTTGCTTCACCCAGATCTTGTTCCATCTCCTCAAACACTGCGTACTTACTCGTCTCACCTCTCTGTAAACTATGCTTACGGTGCTGCGCGCGTCATGCGACTCGCTTTACGTAAAGCCGCTACTCATCGGATTGCTGTCTCTCGGCTTGAGGATCTCGAGGAAACCTATTCACCCACTGGTATCCCTGTCTTCTCGCAGGATACGGAAGAGATTATGCAGGCATTATATGGCGTAGGTGCTGGAGAGGGCTCATTCTGGGATGCAACTCGTGTCCGAGGGATGGTTGGCCCTGTGGTAAGGTTGTGGAAGGATGCCAGTGGTGCGGAACCTATTGTAGCAGAGTTTTTGGGAGTCGTGCGAGATGTGTTAGATGAGGTGCAAGCCACTTCGCGGCCGTTCACAGAGGACGAGGAACACGTTGTAGGAGAAATTCTGTCAGAAGCCGCGCCGTGTTTCAGGTATGTCAGGACTTCGAAAGTTTGCGGTATTTAATGCAACATTTTCCTAGGGAGTCTACAGACCAGTCGTTATCGCCAGCTCGTCTCAAGCTGATCAGGACTCTATCTGAAGTTCTGTATCAAATTCCGTTGGAGATGTCTCTCACGCCCTCACCTGCTGAGATTCTTCTCTCAGTGGCCGACTCTATCGCTGACGAGAAAGGCGCTTCTGTCGTCAATTACGTGTTTCAGACGCTACCATATCCCTCGGCGAACATGTGGCTCCCTTCGATTAAAGAGTTGTTTGAGAAGCTCAACCGGTCTGATATGCCGCTTTGCCGCCGTGCGCTTGCCAAGAACGTGCGTAAAGCGTACGATGAAGTACGGGAGCTGGAAGAGTACCGAGACCCACTCGTGCGAATATCTGTGGCTTCTTGGGAGAGGACGCTACTCCTTGAGACTGACTTTGGCGTGGTCGAAGATGCCATGGCTGTACTCGAAGATGGTATTGTTGCCGGTGCTGCTGACCCGCCGAACAATGTGTTGTTCCGTGCCCCACAATCAGTTAGCTCGAACGGTTTAGATCAGCGGATACAGTCGCTCTTAGTTTCTGTTGCGAGTAATTGCGAGTGCCCCGAGGACGCACAAGTTGATGGTGATCAATTGACCAACAATCTTACACTAACAGATCAGGACTCTGACAAGGCAACGATCACTCCAAAGGATTCGCCTTTCAACTCTTCTCTTCCCCAGTCTTCGAGTCCTAGTATCGCGATGACACTGAAAAATGCGTTATCGTCAGCGCCGACTTCCCCGCACGCTGTGCCCCATGGTGGTACTTCGTCCAGTGAAAATCAGAGCGGGAGTTCCTCGGAACCCATGCCCAGGCGTCGTGTTCGTTGCACCGACACTGCGTCCCATCGAGATGCCAAGTGCAAATCCATGGCCGCATCTCTCACGCTGATTCGTACCTTCATGCGCTTAGCATTTTCCCCTCCCCATTCCTTAGACTCTGATTCCCCTTTCAAAACGGCACGCGCACCTGCGTCATCAAAATGTATCACTGTATTTGAAAACATGCTTTCCCTTCTTGGACCGTCACTTGCCACAACGATCTTACCCGAAGGTGAAGAACGCATGCCTGGACACCGCCAGGCTTGCTGTAGGCGGGCGAGATTATCTATCCTTCAATGGATGGTCCGGCTGAGGGCCGATCGGGACCATCGATTGTATGTCGTTGGTAACCTTGACGCAGGAGTCGCACCATTTGCTGCCCTGATTAGGCGCAGCACTGTGAATGAGTGCGAGGCACCCGAACCCAATTCCTCTCCGAGCGTTGAGGTGGAGCGTGAGGCTCGATTATCTCGCAGTGCTACCCAACGAGGTCGGAGGGACCGGGGTCCCCATGATTCTTCTCGTACCCCAAGTCAGAGCAGGAGCAAATCGCGGTTACCTGTCTCGCCGAAAGATAACCATAGTTCCGATGATTTGGTAGCACTCGAACAAATATGGCGGCTCCCAGATGCTCTACCGTTTGATATTCTGCCCGACAGTCTGCGGCCTAGCGAAGGGATGACCACATACTCTGCTGATGTTCTCGAACATGATGGGATCACGAAGAGTCTTTGGCTCACCGTATCGTTATACGTATGTGCTCTCACGGATATTCTCCATGACGATCCAGATTGGGAGATTCTATCCTACACACTGTGCTACTTGCCCCTTCAACTTTCGAACAAGCATCTATTCTGTGGGCCGAGAACGCGAAAAACGATTGGAAATATGTTGTCTATTCTCTGCAACCTCATATTAACGGAGCGTGTCGGTTCGAGGACGGTGTTACCTGCTGACCTCAAGGTTCCCGATGTCTATGGCCTAGCATACCAAACCCTGACAATACTCATCGGCTATCGAGATGCTTTCGAATCGCATGATCGTGGAATTTCTGAACAAATCGTGCAAGCGTTCACCCTTGGCTTGAACAAACATCATACTCTGGCTAAACCATGTCTACAAGCGCTCTCTATTTGCGCTTATGAGTTGCAAAATTCCACTGCAAAATTTCTTCCGCAGATTTTGGAAAAGCTTGTGCAGATCATGTCGCAACCGGCCATCTCCCGTCATATCCTCGAGCTCTTAGCGATTTTGGGAACCATACCCGAGATTTTTTCCAATCTCCGCGAAATACACTTCACCCTCATTTTTACGGCTGCGGGTCGGTACATTCAACGTCACAGCCGTCCTGTGCAAGTCAGCATGTCTTCGACTGGTGTGGCTCACGTAGGAGGCGAGTCTTTTGCGCTCTCCCAGCATATCAACATTCTTGCATTCTACGTAATCTATTTGTGGTTCCTTGGCATTAAGCTTCCGGAACGCGAGCGATACATCAGTTCCATATCTAAACACCTGAACATGGTGAACGAAGGAGGAAATGAAGGAATGATGGAGATGGTAGAAATTTGTTTTGACTGGCTCACGAGGTACACGTACAGTAATACTACACCCAAGCCACCACACACCATCCAGCTTGGTCAAGCAAAGCCTGGATCGAAATCCTGGCTTGTAGGTAATTCGATTTTGACTATTCAGAATCTTCCAAAACCTGGATGGGTTGCGGTCACGTCCAGAAGGCCTTCAGGTATCCTTCACCTCACCACCAGAATCGACAATATCACATCAGAGAAACTGGAGGATGTCGATCCTAAATCCTTGTTGCTGACAATAGGGACCAAAAATGAAGTCGTGGTGCCTGGGACTTCAGAGGTGATTATAGGCACGGGAACACCTGCTATCTTTGGCTTACGTTGACGCCTTCCTATGAATAGGCCGTCAATTATCTTACAAAGTCCGAAAATCTTGCCACAGATCCCTCTTTTCTTCCTCTGCAGCTCTCCCAATTCCCACACAGTGGCGCCGGTCCTCATGTCCTACCACACTTTATTTCTCACGACGAGTCCTTCGTGCGGACCCTCCGAGTACTGGACTACACTCCTGTAGTGGATCTTCATAAGATTGGCGTCATGTATGCTGCGCCGGGCCAGACCACCGAAGAAGAGATCCTTTCAAATGAACATGGCTCTCCCGCGTACACCCGCTTCCTGCACGGACTCGGTCGTCTCATTGAGCTGAAGGGCCAGAAAGATTTGTATCCAGGTGGCCTCGACACCTCTGAAACCTTGCTGGATGGCCCATACGCTTATGCCTGGTGGGATGATATTACGCAGATCATTTTCCACGCGGCAACGATGATGCCCAACATGGAGCATGACCCCAAGCGAATAATGAAGAAAAGCCACATTGGCAATGATTGGGTACGCATCATATGGAATGATTCGGGGATTCCATACCGGTTCGACATGCTTTCCACTGCATTCCAACTCGTGAATATCATTATCGAGCCTCACAGTGCTGGCACGGTTGCCGCGTTCTCAAACTCATCTCATGAGAATGAGTTCTTCAAACTCACACTTCAGCGAGCACCTGGAATGCCCGAGTTCGGACCTGTGGGCGAGTTCAAGCTTCTGAGTGCGAAGAATTTAGCAAGTTATGTGAGACAGGTGAGCTTGCTTGCTAGCCTGTTTGCGCAAGTCTATGATTGGACGAAAAGGGACACAGTGCAAGATGAGTACGTGACCAACTGGAGGAAACGGTTGCAATTGATAAAGAAACTGAGGCCATCGGCTCTCCATCCGACTGCTGACATACAGGATCGAAAGCAGAATGGAGAGGCAATGACATTTGGAGATTTCACACCGTATTATTCTCGTATCGAGTGAATCAAATGCCAGATGATGATCTCACAACGTGTGCAGCACTGGTGCATCACTTCTAGGAATGTATTCTGAATTATGGTTGTTTGTCTACTTTGGAAACTGCATATGTTGACAATTTTCAAAAATGTGTACCATTACCGATCTTGCATGGTGTGCTGAGTTTGTGCTGCTTGAATCCAGGGCCCTGTTTAGTATGAAGAAACAGGTTTCTTTTCCCTGTTTCTGTCAGTGTCTGACCCTTGTCCAGAGGCAATTCAGCAAGGAGGCTTCTTGGTGACTGTTAGATGTATATCTGATTGGAGAGGGAGACTCAACGCAGAGGGCAGTGGCCTAAGTGACTCAGTGTGGAGTTGTAAGGCCTGAAGAGGCCGCGCACGCTTTCTCCCTTGACTCAAGTTTATTATATTTTTATCTTGAGATCACATGTGAAAGCGTGCTGGTTTACTCTTTACCAAGTGTGTTAGAACGGGGCGAGAGCAGATGATTCTGGAGTGGAACCAGAGACTTAGCAAGGAGGGAAGCCATGCAGCAGCCTCAGTGCAGTGTCGGCTATGTGGGCCATATGACTTGTCTGCCATGGCAAGGCCATCTTTCCTTTTCAATATCAGTGTATGATAATTGATGTCATTTTCATCCATGGCCTCTGTCTTCACCATCAGGTATTTGTCCAGGCTATCATGGAAATGGACACTTTGCCTGGCAGTTGCTACAACAGACTTCATCAGGCCTGATGTGCTGTCAGGGCACACCCACCCAACCCACCTCCACCCGGGCCCACCTGGGTCCACCTCACCCAGCACCTCCTCTTCTCACATCCCATGCCCTCCTTTCCTGTTTGTCCTCCTTTCTACCTCCCTTCTACTTCTGTTTCTATTTCTATTTCTATCTCTATTTCTATCTTACATGGACAACCTTTCTTTACATCTATGTATTATTGACCCACCTGCAACATGCACATGACATGCCCGGCCCCAGATGCCCTGGATGGCTCTAGGGTAGAACCTAGTACGTGTGCATGCAGCATACGCCCTCGGGATCCCCCACAGGGACACCTGGGTGACTGCAGCTGTATGTGGGGTGACATGGCAGACCTCATGTGACTCAGACCGCATGTATATAAACACTCCTGGGGTGGGAACTGAAGAAGTAACCTTCTTCTCAACATTCCCACTTCAGTCTAAGTGGCCAGGGACCATCGTCCCACGTCCAGCCTGTCAGTATGCGCGCCTGTGTCATATCCATCCATGGCCATCGACTTCCACCACTTCCGATCCCTCCTGACTACCTCTGCTCCTTCTCCACTAACCTTGGAGCTCCCATATTCCGCAATCACCTCAGTATCCCTCAATGGTCACCACCCCCTCCTTTCAATTTATTACCTATGCCTCCCTAAGTACGGAGCCCCGAAGGCTTCCGGACAGCTCTGACGTCCGCTAGCGCACTCCCACCTCCACTGGGCAATACACTCACTTGCCCTGCAAGCCCACCTTCGGGCCTATCCCTCCTTTCTGTTTCTGGGTTATTGCCTACCATTCCGTTAACCCCATAACCTGACTTGTTGGTAATATTCAATTGGCTAATGTTTAACTCTGTTAGCTCCGCTCCACTTGGCCCCACCATTTACAGGCCCGCCCTCATTGTAACTATATATACTCAACTTGTACATAGGTTACACCTCAGTAATAAAATCGACTAGAGTTTACCCCCTTCAGTTCTGGTTGCCAGTTAGTAAGTTAGGGCACGGATGTGTTACTTGGCACAGCACTCCTGGCATAAGTCACTGAGGCCTCAGCCCTCCACCATGGAGACATTCCTTCATCTTGACCTGGTCTCTGACAGCCTGCTCTACAGCCTGCAAGGGCCTCAGTCCTGGGTGCTACATCCAGGCCCCCCTCAACCCCAGACGTGTCCCTCATTGTTGGACTTTTCTGGGTTTGTGAAGGCACGAAGATGGCAAAGGAAGCTTCTGCAGTAATTTCAGCTGATGGGGACCATGAGGATGAGGTGCTCATACCTCTGTTTGCTGATATCGGGTTGGTATGGGCTAAAAGAATTACAAGTAAGCTATCTGCACTCTCCTGTGCTTGCACTGCATGCCTGAAAGCCTTTATGCCATCATACAGATTCCTTATGGCAAGGGCTGCATCCTTGGTGAGTGGCAGACCCATAGCCTTCACCATTTCTGCCATAATCGGTGAGCTGGTGAAAGCTACCATGGACTGTTCTGGGGGGACAGTCTCATCCACTACAAATCCCACTACAGCGACACCAATGGGATGGGTGGAACTAAGTGCACAGACCTATCATGACAACATGTAGTTAGATTGATTTCTATAACTGCTCCACTCAATCTACTTGACATGTGCTGCATATTTTCCTGTCATTTTCTGAAGCAGGTGGAGACTTTCATTAGGTTGGGTGTCAGGGCACACCCACCTGACCCGGCTCCACCTGGCCCAACCTGACCCGATACCCCACTGTCCACCCCTCCACCCCTCCACCCCTCCTCACCCCTTTTCCCTCCTCTCCTCATCCATGCTTCCTCACCTTTCCCCTATCTTACTTCTTCTTTATTTTCTCTTTATTCTACATGGACGACCTTCTTTGTATCAATGTACCATTGACCCATCTGCAGCGTGCCCACCATACACCCAACCTGGGCACCTTGGGCAACTTCCCACTGTGCCCAGTACATGCACCTACACCAGATGCCCTTGGGATCTCCCACGGAGACACCCAGGTGGTTATGGCTGTGTGCAAGGGTGATGTGGCACCTGTCATGTGATCTAAGCTGCATGTATATAAATGAACCTGAAGTGGGAACCGAAGGAGTAGCCTTCTTCTCAAACTTTCCACTTCAGGTAAGTAGTACAGTATCCCTCCTTTAATGACAATACAAACTTTCCACTTCAGTCTAAGTGGCCAGGGACCGCTGTCCCACATCAGGCCTGTCAGTACGCATGCCTGATCCGCCCCCTGCCAGGCTCTCAGCCCCAGACACTACCCCTGGGCTCCCTCGACCCTGGATGAGTCCCTGACATTGGGTCTCTCTTTTGTCCTAGACAAAATAATGTCTCTGTAATGCACAAGAACTTTGTCATAAAAGGCTTTTGCTTTGTCTGCCCTGTGTGGATACTTCTCCTCGATTTCCAGATGCTCTGACTTGCAGAGGCTTGCTGCATCTTGGCTATCAAGTCCTGCTGAGAAATGATTAGTCTTTAAGATGAGCTGTGAGCATATTGTTAACCTATGGTGAAGCTTAAGCCATGTCTGCCAAGCGGTTTGGCCTGTATCAGTTGTGTTATGTGAGCGGAACTTCTTCATTACTTCTTGGGGGGACTTCCCCCTTTTTCTGGGCATATGTGGCCATACATGTCTCCATGAAAACTGCACAGTGTTGAGAGCTTCTAAACAGTTTGAGCAGTGAGGAAAATAATGCACCTTCAAAGCTGAGGTCGTCTATCATGGATGCTTTGTCAAGTATATTCCCAATACCTCTGACTGCCTTGATGGAGGTGTGCCCCCATAGCTCTTGCACAATGTTCTTTACAATGTCCTCAAGGGGGGCAAGGGGTTGGAACTGTTGGAATATGGGATGGAGTAACCTGTTATAGAAACGGATCTAGAATCTTATGGTCCGTGACTATAGGTAAGCAGACTTTGGGATTCCATCACCTTATTTCGCTGTCAAACCCCATGCCAAGCTTTCCCACTGGGTTTTGGTGCTGGCTGGGGGATTTGTTGAGTTTCAAGGGATTTCCCTTGACCATTGTAATATTTATATTAGATAGTTATGAGTCATATGACATGTAAGGCAGTTGCCGGAATTGTTCCATCCTTATCTAATACATAACCCACAAAACCTTGTACCGTGATTGTAACTGCCACACCATTGTGCCACCACTGTAAGCCTTCTCTGTAACATCTGAATTGGTCCATATCGATGTCTACATCGATATTCTTACAATCTGTGAGAAAACCTCATCGGCCCGGTGAGTGCTCAGACACCGGACCTCACTCTTCCTGCTCCCACCCCCCACTGGGTGGTTGAGCTCCTATTCCTATCCTTCCTGTAGTACCCTAGTGGGTCCTACAACCCTTCCTCCCTTCTTGGGAGGGAGAAGTGACCCAGGCAGCCCCAGGATGCCTGGCCATGTACCCGTGGGCCCAAATTCCCACGGTCACTCACTACCGTGCACTGGTCAACCAACCTGTCTGTCCCAACAAATCCCGCTACCGGTACGCTCCCTTGAGCACCAAGTAACCGATAGACAACCACTGGGCTACTCCCTCAAGGAGTGCCAACCACCCACGCTACCGGTATGCTCACATGAGCGCCAAGTCACTGCTAGCCAACTGTTAGATGGCTCCCTCAAGGAGTCCCCATTATACCCGCTGCCGGTACGCTCCTTGGAGCGCCAAGTTGCCGCTAGCCAACTGTTAGGTGGCTCCCTCAAGGAGCCCCCATTATACCCGCTGCCGGTACACTCCTCAGAGCGCCAAGTTACCGTTAGTACACCCGGTCTCAAATCTCCTGCTCTCCCTTCAACGGCTATGCAGCCACCTCTGTCTGTGAGCAGAACGGCTCAGGTTGGGTTCCCCGGAACCCATTCCCGTAACATTGGTGCCCCAACCCTGGTCACACCATCATCAAACGCTATTGTGTGACCTCAAGCTCACACACAGGAGGAATACCCATCTAACCTCGGCATCGTCAGCTCAGACTATCAACACTCTACCATTCAACTTAAGCATGCACTGGATGAGTTTTCGTCACCACGGAGATTCTATTATGAGCGCATGCCTATGGACATGCTACAAGAGTGGCAACAGCTGGGCCCAGACGACATGGAGGTTCAGTCATTCCGCAAACTGGCTACAGACTCCTCAACCTCTTACCGTATCATGGACGAGCGCGGTCAACAGCTGATACTGATCCTTCAAGCGATGAACCGCATCGTGGGGTTGCAGCCTGGGTATCGAGTGCAGTCCACATCCCTGGCTCAATGCATTGTGTGCTCAAATCGACGCTTAAGCGCCCAACTGCCCAGTTGCGCCCAGTTACACCCTTGTGGCATCCATGCAGGTTGACACGTTCGAATAAGCTATCCAGCTCACCTTCCACAACTGTGACACACGCTGCCAGGTTGATGTGTCATGTGGACCATGCAGCCAAGTCGTTGTTCAGGTCCCCGGCTGCTCAGTCAATTCAACTGGCTGTTTCTTGGCCGCACTCACTTGAGCCAGCATGTCTTTCTGAGCAACTTTGTTCGGCTACTGGTTGTCTATCCATTGCAACACACTCCCTCAGTGCTACATGTCGCAGGGTCGAATCCCCAGCCTTACCATGTCAATCGGGTTACATAGCTGCCCCTTCGCGGAGCTCATGGGACCCAGCGCGCCTGTCTGAACAATCTCATTCAAGTGTGACTTGTCTGTCAAGTACAACAAACTCCATCGGTTTGACAAGTTGTAAGGCTGAACCGGCACCTTTGCCCGTTCATTCGGATAGTGTAGCTGTTTGCTCATGTCACCTGGGATCGAACAAACCAGGCAGACCAGTCTCCACCAGTTTGTCACTGGCTACAATGTGCACCATCAGGTCGATGTGCTACCCAGCCAACCAGACGTTGCCACCTGCCCAAACGAAATCTCTGATTGTATCTCTACATCATCCTCACAACTCAGAGCGCTTGCCTGCGCTACATCAGTCAGAGGTGGTCTGTCCGTCGAGCACCACACTCGCGATTAGCACAAAGAGCCGCATATGCAATCCCATACTCCTGAATGGCCAGTCGGTTCCCTGGGTTGCTAATTTGCGCCATACTCCTGAGTCGCCAGAATCCTCGGTTGATGGCCCATCCAGTGCGAGGCACCTTATTAGCTTGACACTCATGTCTGTTGTTCTATTGGTTTTCCCGGCAGTTTATCCATGTCGTCCTCACAAGCTGGGGCACTGGTATGATCGGTACAACCCTGCTAGCGCTAGATTGCCATCTGTGATGAACCCTATTGTTATGACGTGGCAAGTGACCGCATGTTCAGTCGGCATTGGTGTTCAGGCTCATGACAAAGCTCTCAACTGCGAAGTCAGAGTGTCCAACCCCTGGCCGGAAGGAACTCAGATCCCGGCACAAATGCGGCCAGACTACCTAACCAATGCCAAGGACAGCCATTTCCCAATTACCTTGTCCTTTGACGGATGGGGCCCTGAATTGCTGTCTTTGCCTGCCCAGTTGGGTCTCCTGGCAAATCCTTCGCATCGCCCATGTGAGCTAGAACGCTCCTGTGAACTGTGCTGCTCAGTTGCGGCTGGTCTGTCGATTACAACGGTTTCCAATGGTTTGGTGGGAAAAGCGATTGAGCCGGTGTCATCGCCTGGTCAGTCGGCCATCCTTTCACGTTCCACGTTCGAGTCAGCAGGCTTGCATGTGTCATACCGCCTGGTGGCTGCATACACACCAATCAAGATGTGCTTTACCGATTCGACGCACTGTGCAGTCGAACTGGTAATATTGCATGACCAGTCGGATTCTCCAGCTGAACCTGCGTGTCGATTTCCCAAGCTGGCGCGCTCAAACGGACCAAATCGTTTGACCACAACTCATTTGCTGGTCCCGATACACTTCCGTGGCTCCACATGTCAATCCTTTCAGGTTGAAGAGCAACCCATCATCCTCACAGGTACTCAGGCTCTCAACATAGCCTTTGAATGCGACATCTACCTGTCTAGCCTTCAGCTGGGGAGGACTCAGATTTTGCACAGGAATGGGGTTTCTCATTTGGCCGCATTGAGTGATCTCGAAAGGACAACACTGATGTGGTTAAGCTACGATCCTGGTATCAGGAGCGACCGACTCCCAATTACCTCACTCATCAACAGTTGGATTGCATGCTGGCACATGCCACATCGCTCAGCAGCAGCACACTCACCGATCGTAATGCGTTCCATCAGTTCAATGTGTCAAAAGATCATACCACCCATCAGAATGGGTGCACATCGCGTCCATCTCGATCACCAATCCATCCAGGTTAAAGGGCAGCATATCGTCCTCACATTTATTCCGGTTCTCAATGGGGATCTCAGCTGCGGAATCCGTGCAGTTGATCCCCAGCTGGGTGGAACTCAGCTTACGACATCAATGTGGTTAGGCTGCGTCCCTGATGTCAAGGGCAGCCGTCTCCCAACCACCTCGCCCATCAATGGCTGGATAACTTCACTTGCCCAGCCAAGTTACTTGACGGTTACCGTGTGCTGTCCCATCGAGATGATGTGCTCGTTTGAGTCATACAGCTCATCGGTGGTCCATTTGTCAACCATAGCGTCTCTCCAGTTGGATCCTCCGACTGACCCTTTGTGTAATCCTATCACGCTGGCATGCTCATGTGTGCCAGGTCATTCAGGGCCGGAGTGCTCGTGCCATCTGTGTCACTCCGTCGCAGCTGGTTGGCCGATTGTGACGAATCTCATCCGCTTGCCCTGCCAAGCGGTTGAGCTGACCTCTTCATCTACTAGCTCAGGATCTCCGACTGTATCCATGCACTCCTTTCTCAAGTCAGCACACCTGCAGTCAGCACACCACTTGGTAGCGGCGCATGCACTAATCGTGACTTGCTCCACCAATTCAATGCGCCATACAATCAAGTCAATATCCTCACACGACTGGTGGGATCCTCCAGCCGTGCCTGCATGTCAACTTCTTGAGCTAGTACGCTTGCATGGGCCATGTTGTTCAGCGGTAGCCTATCCGTCAATCACGACACACTCTGCCAGGACGATGTGCCATGCGACTGGGCAAGTGTCCTTGCCTGATCAGCCATATTCTTCAGCTGGTCACCCACCAGAGACAGCAGGTGTATCGGCTTGCCACGTATCGGGATCGTCACCCTTGCTTGTTTTGTTGGACATTTTGGCAGTTTATTCACAATGCCCTTACGAGCTGGGGCACTCACTGGACCTGCACTGTTCAGCCAGCGGCGGTTCTTCGATTGTGATTAAATCTACTGGTTCGATGCGTCGAGTTATCATACGTTCTGCCCTCATGGTTGCTCAGGCCCTCAACCAAGTTCTCGGATGTGACATCTACACGCCTAACCCCTTTCTGGGCGGAATTCAGATTACGACACCGATGTGGCTAGGCTACGTTCCTGGTGTCAAGGATGGCCATCTCTCAACTACCCCGCCCATCAACGACTGGGACCGTAAGCTGGGGCCTTTGCCTGCCCGGCCAATTCCTTCGACTGTCCCTTTGCGCTCCCCATTCGTGTTAGCGTGCTCTCTTATGCAGAAGAGGCCGGAGCTTGAGATGACACATAAAGAGCTACTCCTGATGCAACTGCCTGGGTCGTGTCTTGGACCTCCCAATTGGAGGCACACCTTGCCAGGTCTATCATTGCGCTTGGAAATGTCAAGCGCAACGCATGCGCCGCAGCACCACCCACGCGAAATGTTGTACCCACCGGCCACCGCACATCTCGCCTCCAAGTTATCGCGACAGCCGTCCAACGTGGCACATCTGCCTGCCGCTCTGCCAACCACAATGGTCTGGGAACGCTTGTGTGCAAAGGAGAGAACCCCGCATCCTCGAACTGAAGCCAAACCTGCATGGAACGAGTTTTCCAATGGGTTGTGTCGTTCCATTCACATCCTTGCTGAACCGTTGCATGAAGAGAGGCGGAAAAGCCTAGAAAACATAGAAAGGGAACTGTCAGGCGAGCGGAGTCCAGGCTGGCCTATCAAGCCTTGTCTCACAAAGAGATGCTGTGCCCAACTGAAGGCGACCATCATAGCAGATCAGGTTTACACTCAGACTGCCAGTGCGATCGGTTGCACTTCACGTCAAGCCAATGGCGTTACGGGAAAGGACCGCTATGCCTCATGGGCTGTCCCAGATTATTCCAAGTTAGACAACTTACGCACGGCATGGAGTTGTTCAGGCCCAAGACCTGTGTCATCGGAGGGGCATTACAGATACAAAAACGATGACATTAAAATCCTAGGTATCTCCCTATCTGCTGGTAGACTAAACGCTACTTTGGGCAACCGAACGAGTCTGAGTATCAGCAAGGGAATCGTTGTCTTGACTCAGCCCGAAGACTCGCAGTGGTATCTCTTTCAGGCCGAATGCCTATTAACCTCAGCGCCCTCGGCTACCTCTGTACCCATGGCTGCATTGTCAGAGCAGTCAAGTCCCACTGTCCTATTACGCCCCTTTAGATGGTTTTGTCATCTGATCAAGCAGGAGAATCCGCTTCCCAGACCAGCCCATTCTGCCTTCCCAATATCATACTGTGTGGTTGGTCTATCTTGACTGACTCCAGAACCCGCGCAATCCTTCTGTGTCCTTGCACACTCACCCTCCATCCAGTCACGTCGGCCCAGTGGGGGTGGAGAGAAGTTGAACTCTCGAGGTTCAATAACCGGGCTCCCAGAAAGCCAGATCCTCCACCAGAGGACCGCCCCAAAGGAGACTGGCATTAGACAAGCCTTCAGCGACGTCCTATCATTGCACTTGTTAAATACAGAGGATGAAAGATTCAACTTGGGACTAGAGGTACTAAATAGACTAGTCTCCCCTTCCATCCCTCCAAGCTACCCCTGAGACCCTGGTCTCCACCTCAGCCCCCATATTGGGCTGATGCATGAAGGAAGGGGCACGCGTGCTCCCGCAAATCTATTTACTATTGTTTGTTTCAAAATCCCCGATCCTCATCCTCTCCATGCCCCCTTTCTGCACCCATTCCCAACACCTGAAGGCAGCCATGGCTGATCGAAATTCGCTGGGTAGCATCAGCGGCTGGGATGGGAGTCAGAACTCGCAGCGTGGTCAAAGGCATATTGGAAACCGACGATTGCGATTTCTCAACAGTGACCTCCATGTCTCTGGTCATGGAGGGGATCTATCCGTACCTTCGACTGACTTAGTTCAGTTGGCTACCCTCGATCTGCCGACCAAATACTACTTTCTGTCATATCCATTCCCGGCCATCGACTTCCGGGCTCTCCGACCCCTCCGTTCTAACTCCGCTCCCCCCTCACCAACCTCGGAGCCCCCGTATTCCGCAAACCTCCCGGTGCCCCTCGATGACCACCACCCCTTCATTTCAATTTATTACCTATGCCTCCCTAAGTACGGAGCCCCGAAGACTTCCGGACAGCTCCGACGTCCGCTAGCGCACTCCCGCCTCCGCTGGGCAATACACTCGCCTGCCCTGCAGAGTCCACCTTCGGGCTTATCCCTCCTTTCCATTTCTGGGTTAACGCCTGCCTTTCCGCTAACCCCGCAAACCGACTCGTCGGTAATATTCAGTCGGCTAATGTCTTAACCCCGTTAGCTCCGCTCCGTCCAGCTCCGCCAATTGCGGAACCGTCTCTGCTGTAACCATATATATACACTACTTGTACATAGGTTACGCCCCAGCAGAAAAATCAACTAGAGTTACCCCCACTAGGTTCTAAGTGCCAGTCAGTAAGTTAGGGCACGGACGTGTCACTAGGCACAGCGCTCCTGGCAGAAGTCGCTGAGGCCAAAGCCCTCCATTACGGAGACATTCCTTCGTCTTAAAATCTGGTCTCTGACAGTATTTTTCTGCTCCCTGACTAGTACACGTCTTGTATGGCACCAAAAGTCCTTCGCACTCGTTCGCAACTACGCACATTAGTCCCCAACTCCGCTTCACCTTCCCCAGAACCCTCTCAGCCTGGTCCTAGTCGATTGGCGAGAAACCCAGTTGAGTTTCGAAGCTTTTCTAACCTTGAAACCCCTCTCCCATCGACTCCGATCATGCGCCCCGCTAGGAATCGATCACCAGTCGCAGACTCCGACTTCGGAGACACCACGGAACAACCCATAGATCCCGCCCACTTCTTTGGACTCGGTTCCGAGGTCCCCGACTTCGTCGACCCTCCTCCTGCTGATCCTCCCATCCCCACTGTTCCAACCACCGACGATGCCGAACCCACCTCCAACGTGGCCATTACACAATTGGCCCAAGCCATTGCCAGTCTGGCTCGTCACACCGGACGACGACGACGACCACCATCTTCCGCTCTCCGGACCAAGGTCCGCGAACCCGAACAGTTCGACGGGAAGGATCCCCGAGAACTCCGAGTATTCTTGGTCCAATGCGAGCTCAACTTCCAGGACCGTCCCCTCGCTTTCGCTAGTGACCGCGCTAAAGTCATATTTGTGCAGTCCTACCTCAAGGGAATGGCCCTCGATTGGTTTGAGCCGGACCTGTTATTCGACCAGAACTCCACGCTTCGTCCGCGATGGATGAACGACTATCAAGAGTTCGTTAACGAACTTCAAACTAACTTCAGCCCTCACGATCCTGTGGGCGACGCCGAGGTTCAACTAATGACGTTAGACATGAAGGACGGACACCACATCAACAAATACGTCGTCGAATTCAATCGACACGCCTCTCAACTCCACGGTTACGGAGAAGCTGCGCTTCGTCGTTTCTTCTACAACGGATTGCCGGAACGTATCAAGGATGATATTGCCAGAGTAGGTAAACCCTCTACTCTCTCTGAGCTTCGCACCCTGTCCCAAACTCTCGATGCGCGCTATTGGGAGCGTAAATCGGAAGTTACACGTCACGCGAAACCCTCTTCCTCTAACGTCTTCGACAAGTCCACCGCCGCTTCTCGTTCCGACCCCGTCCCTTCTTCCTCCTCTTTCAACTCCGCTTCCGGTAGTAGGCCTCCGAAGGACAACAAGAAGTCCGAGGCCAGCTCCGTTAAACCGGACCTCTCTTCTAAACTCGGAGACAACGGCAAGCTCACGCCACAAGAGCGTAAGCGCCGTCTCGACGAGAAACTTTGTATGTTCTGCGGTCAGTCTGGCCATATGGTCAAGGATTGTCCCAAGTCTTCTTCTCGCGCATCTAAGGCCCATTCGGCCCAGACCGAGGAGCAAGGATCCGCTTCTGCAGAAGCAAAAAATTAGTCCGCACCCCCGTGGACTCCGCACGGACCGGGGGTTGCGATCCTTCCTTCCGTGCGCTCAAAGAAGTGCGTTTAAACGCGTCTTCCATTTCCGACCTATCCTCCCTCCACATTCCCGTTTCCTTTTCTCTCTCAAATGGTCTATTTTCTCCTTTCAATGTTGACCCTTCGGGCAATGTTCTACCCGTTGTAGATAGTGTTGCTGATGTATCACTCTCTCCTCCACCCCCTCCGACTACTTCCGTAGATCGATCCACCTCTCTCCGCTTCGCTTCTCCTTTTTCTCCTCCGTCCAATAGTAGGACACAAAATAAACTTTTCCGCTCCTATGAGAACGTACCCGCGCTCGTAGATTCTGGGTCTTCGGACTGCTTCATCGACGACACCTTTGTAAAAAAGCTGGCCTTGAAGACATACCAGATCAAACCCCTACAACTACGCCTATTCGACGGTAGCACCAACTCGATCATAACCCGTGCCGTTGATATTCCCCTCCGCTTCGCTTCCGGAAACATCACCCCCACGACTTTCTTTGTCACATCGCTGGATGGATCATGTTTCCTAGTCCTAGGACACAACTGGCTTACCCGCTACAATCCGTTGATTGACTGGGTCTCAAGCAGTATCACGTTCCGAACTTCCGAACCTACCAAGACAGTCACTCCAAGCTCTCCCCCGTCGTCTCCGGCAACACTGCCGTCGTCCGACATCCAACCATCTGATGTTTCGCCAGCACCTCAGTCACAGGCTGCTACTCCTCCATTACCATCTATCGAGTTCATCAGCCGTTCCGCATTCGCGAAGGCTTGCCGACTCGAAGGATCGGTATCCTTCAGCCTAACCATCCCTTCCGAGGAAAGCCGCTTGAGGGCTGCCTCTCCCCACACCGATTCCGTCGACCTCTCGGCTGTTCCGAAGGAGTATCACAAGTTCGCGGACGTGTTCAGTAAGAGCAAGGCCTCGACGCTGGCACCGCACTGTGAGCACGACCTAAAGATCGACCTTGAGGAAGGCACCTCCCCACCCTTGGGTACCATGTACTCTCTCTCTCCTTCGGAACTCGAGGCCCTCCGGGCGTTCTTAGATGAGCACCTGGCCTCCGGTTTCATTCGTCCCGCTACCTCCGCTCACGCGGCACCGGTCCTCTTCGTCCGCAAGAAGGACGGATCCCTCCGTCTTTGCGTCGACTTCCGAGGGCTGAACAAGATCACCAAAAAGGATCGCTACCCACTTCCCCGCATTTCCGACCTCCTTGACGCACCTAGCCGTGCCACAGTCTATACCAGACTCAACCTCCGGCATGCCTACCACCTGGTGCGCATCGCAGCAGGCGACGAGTGGAAGACTTCCTTCCGCACGCACTATGGCTCCTATGAGTGGCTTGTCATGCCATTCGGTCTCACGAATGCACCTGCGGCTTTCCAGCGATTCGTAAACACGATCTTTGCCGACCTCCTGGACGTTTCTGTGGTAGTCTACCTAGACGACATCCTTACCTACTCGGAAGACATGGCTTCGCATCAGGAGCATGTCCGAGAAGTTCTTAGGAGACTCCGCAAACACGGCCTATATGCCAATCCGAAGAAATGCGAGTTCCATACGGACACTACGGAATATCTCCTTCCGGACTCACCATGTCCATCGAGAAAGTCAAAGCCGTCCAAGATTGGCCCGAGCCCCGTAAAGTCAAGGATGTCCAATCCTTCCTTGGCTTCGCTAACTTCTACCGGCGTTTCATTCACCAATACTCCGACATTGTGGTCCCCTTGATGCGCCTCACGCGTAAAGGAGCCCCCTGGCTATTCTCCGACGACTGTCACGCCGCTTTCAACACCTTGAAAGAGGCCTTCACTTCCGCTCCTATCCTCACGCATTGGCTACCCGACGCCCCCCTCATTGTAGAAACCGACGCTTCCGATTACGCGATCTCCGGAATCCTCTCCATTCGCTGTGATGACGGAGAGATTCGCCCCGTCGCTTTCCGCTCAAGAACACTCTCGGCGCCGGAACTCAATTACGACACCCATGACAAAGAACTGCTCGCCATTCATGATGCGTTCCGATCATGGCGTCATTACCTCAAAGGTTCAGGAACCCCAATCGACGTCGTCACCGACCACAAGAACCTCGAGTATTTCTCCACCACCAAACTCTTGACCCGGCGGCAAGCCCGCTGGTCAGAGTTCCTCTCCCAATTCCACATGACAGTCCGATTCCGTCCCGGAAGACTCGGAGTTAAACCAGATGCGTTGACAAGACGCTGGGACGTCTATCCCAAAGAAGGGGATATGGACTACGCTCGCGTCAACCCACAGAACTTCCGACCAGTCTTCACTTCGGAGCAGCTCACTGCGTCCT